CGAATGAGTGTTGCCAGCTAAAACACGTAAAAATAATATTAAAGTAGCCAAGACATAGCCAAATATTGTAGCGCCACATCAATAGCGGACATTTGAAATTTGCCGACTAGGACGGTCGGTTAACCGAGGGGACGGTTGATAGGTGGTCGAATAATCGAGGCTCTACTGTAATTATCTTGTTATTGTTACTGACAAAATTTAATGTACAACTAGTATTAAAAGTAATGAATTACAAATTAGAGAAACTTTAAAAGTCTAGTTCCACTAAAATTTGAATTTAAAGTTATGGGAAATTAGTGTAATATATTACCAATGATGCCATCCAAATAATTTAAAGATCTTATTTAGTCAGAAAAAAAATTCACAATCCAAAACAAAATCATTATGATTATTGCTACTGTAGAAACTATTGCATTAACACAGCCTTAAATCACCATCACTTAAATAAAGTCAATGTGGGTAAATATGAAACAGTCTGAAAAATTGGAAAATATGAGACAGTTGTGAAATTTGACTTAATCTATATCGGATCTGTCCTGTACTAACACACTATTAAGTTTATTTAGTGCTTTTTAACATATAACTTTTCTGAATGAAAATGACTATGGTTTCATTGAGTCTTTTTAATTTTTAAGAAACACTACAAAAACAGGTGCAAAAACTTTTCTGTCAGTTCAACTAACTTTTGCTCTGTATATGTCTGTAAAAGACATGGATATTTAATTAGAAATTTGTATGTGGTATATAAATGCAGCTTTCAGCTGCTAGTTGTTTTTATTGCATATATCTTTTGTCTGAGTTTTGTGCATTTCAAAATGAGATAGAAAATGACACACACCATAGGAAATAAAATCTGATGTCTCATTTTTTAACCAGTCGTTAATTTCCATGAAACTTTTTTTATTTAAGTTCAGCCTGTTAATATTTTTAAAATGTAATAGGTCTACACCTAATTTAACCTTAATGTTAACACACAGAAAACAGCATGGCTATAGTTTTTTCTTCATTATTTTTATTCCATGCTAATTAAATAAATAATCAATTGTTCCTAAAATGTTTTATTTTGGTGTAGGCCTATTTAAACCAACAACTTGACACCTAAATGCAAATTCCAGCAAATAATGAACAAATAAAATTTAATGTTCAAACATTTTCAGCTGTCTTTCAGAGACCCTCATCAGAAATTAATGCACAAAACACAAAAAAATAGTTCTATCTTTTGAAAATTTCTAACTTTCCTTATGATAGCTACTTGAAAATTTTTAACTTATGAAAAGTTAGAAATTTTCAAAAGATAGAACTATTTTTTTGTGTTTTGTGCATTCATTACTGATGAGGGCCTCTGAAAGACAGCCAAAAACATTTGAACATTAAATTTTATTTGTTCATTATTTGCTGGAATTTGCATTTAGGTGTCAAGTTGTTGGTTTAGTACAGGGGTGACCAACAGTTTTTGTCCCCAGGCCAAATTGGAAAGAAAACTTTTTCCATGGGCCGAACCAGAGGCTGCCCTAGGAAGATTCTGAGGTGGTGCGAGATCTCATTGTGGTGTCACCCCGTAGAGACTGAATTGTAGATAGAAATTACAGGTACAATTTTTCACATTATCATGCTTTATCAACACTCTATGCTGTACTTATGAGATTTGTAATGGAGGGTTAACTCTAAACTCACAGTGAGTTGTTGACCCTTTTTTTTTTAGTTATTTGGACTTCAATACCTAATATTGAAAGATTGATCGCGGGCCACATAAATTCATTAGACAAGCTGGATCTGGCCTGCGGGCCATATGTTGGCCATGCCTGGTTTAGTATATATAGTTCCAGTTTAAGTCTGCCAGTTTTTCTGTAGGCCTATTTTATTTAGACTAGGCTAGATATGTAAATTTTCTTTAATTAGTGGTAGGCTTATTACTTTTTGTATGTTAATATCTCTTTTAATAGACCATTATTTTTAACAGCCCATTGAATAAAGCTTTTGTGTTTACTATTAATAATTCATTATAGGAGAGGAGAAAGGAGAGTAGTTTGTCTTCTGCTGAAGGAGGACACAGTGCATCCAAAATATTTGTGAAAAAAGTGTATTTACTAATTTGTGTTATACTGTATTTTTCCTTTTTCTTCCTTTCCTATAGCCTGCTGAATTATTATCCCAGTTTAGTTATTTTTTTATTCTTTAAACATTTAATTTAGGCCTATACCATATGTATTTACTATTAGTAATATAAAATAGTTGGTATAATATACTTTGTTCAAAAAGATTAATAAAATCACTTAGGCCTAGGCCTGTCTTTAAAATTTTGTTTTATTTTACACTTTTATATTGTACACAACTACAGAGTAATTTTCAATGATGAATATTTAATATTATCTACTTACTCCAATTAAAAATTTTCATGTGAAAATGTCAAGAAAATAAGCTGTACAAAAAATCTTTTTAAAAATTATATATCTTGGGAACTAAATATCATATAGCAATGTTTTATACAAAAATTTGCATTTAACCTGTAGTACCTGATTATTAACCTCCCTGTTGGCATATAATGTCTTTATGGTGATATAATGGGTGTCTTATTTTTTGACTCCCAGTGTCTCAAATTTTAGCTTTTGAAAGTAAAATATGAAATGTGGAAAAATTTTTGCTCAACATTTCTCATACATACAGAAAAAATGAATACTCCATTAGATTTTAACACCATTTGTAGACCTTGTCATATATTTCTCTTTGTAAAATACTGATACTAACAAATGCTGTTACAAAAGTTTTGAAAAGTGTCTCATATTTACCCACATTGACCCTATTTTGGTATGGTATAAATATGATAAAAACATCTTTAAATCTAAATATGAATTCACTAGTTATTAAAATTAGTTCAATAAAATACATTAATATGTATTACAATAAAAATTTAATAGATTTTTTTAAATTTACCAAATCAAAAACTTCAACTCAGATCTACTTATGAAAATAAATTTTCTCAAATAGAAACATTTTTTAATATATTACACTCAAGATCTATATTACCAATTATAATTTCATAAATCTACATAAAAATATCTTTATTAATAGTTCAATTTCATTATTATTTCATATTCAAAAATATACAACAAAAAACTGTCAATACCATAAAGTACTTATATAATTAAATAAATATTACTTATATAAAAATAAACTAAAATTAATATTTTAATTTCAATAATATATATTAAAAAATTGTTAAATCTTTGTAAAAATCGACTCCATAGATAAAATAGGAATTCTAATAAATGTTTACAAGTCACTCTTTAAATCAGGCCTGGCCAACCCATGGCCTGTCATGTTAAATTGTGTGGCCCACTAAGCGATATTAAGTTATATATCTATTAAAACTTTTGTTTTCTGTTATATGTATACCAAAACAATTAAATAAATGAAAATTTGCATGTGTCATTGTTATAATGTGCAAGTGTGAGTACGAACTCTTGGTATAACAATAAAATCTTATTCATTTCGTATTTGTTTACTTTTTTAAATGATGTTTGCTTAAATTGTGGCCCACCGTAATGTTATGGCGTAATCAAAGTGGACCACAAAACAATTTGGGTTGTCCAAGCCTGCTTTAAATGTTTGTTAATGTTTTCTGTTTTTTTGGAAAATTAAGTAGTTCTTACATTATTCTTAAAATTTACTGAGGTTAAAAAAAATTAATATAATAAAATTTTAAGTACTCTTATATATATTTTAATATTCTTACATCTCTCTTATTCATTTCTTCTTCATTCATATAGATCTTCCTTTCTTTTCCCTCAGAATTCTCTTCTTCTGATCTGTTATGAACTGGTCTTGATATATGATGTAAGGCACTTTGGTCCCAACTGTGAGAATCCATGACTAAAATAAAATAAAATAAAAAACTAATACGTTAGATTTTTGTTTAATTACTTATATAATAAATATATTTTTATATGTATTGTTTTTTACTTTTTGCCCTTAAATTTCATTAAACATTTCTACTAACTTAAACCAGTTATTTATGTTAGGGCTTAAAGTTAGTAGAAATGTTTAATTAATATATTTTTATATTTTATAAAATACTTCAGAAATCTTTTGCATTTTAAAATATAATTAATCTGAAATATGTTAAAACAGAATTTATATTAAATATTTATATTATTTAAACCAATTACATATTCTTTCTGTTAATATTAAAATTAAATTTTATTTTAAAAATCTACTAAACAAGAATTAAATTTAACCTAAAATTGTTTTTGTACTTTACATTTAGTTTTTAAATTTGTTTTACATTTGAAGGCTTATTTTGAAAAAAAAAATTAGAAATAAACTTCTAAATATTAATATAATTTTAAATAAAAATAGATAATTCAAAAAAGTTTTAATACAAATTTACATGGTTTAAATATTCTACCTTATTAAATCTGAATGTATTGTTTTTTACAGAAAATTTTTTAAAAAATCTTTAATACTTGATTATTATTCTTATTAAAATTAATCAACCTAAATATTAGCTAACAAAATATATAGTTAGTTTAAAAATTTAATATCAAATCCTTATTGTAATGGACAAAAATTTTAAATTTGAAAATTGTTGAAGTTACTAAAAACTGATTGCTATATAAACAAGGTTACAACATTTCCATTTAATTTTATTTAAAACTCATGATTATTTTATACATTAAAACATTATAATTTTTGCATTGAAAACAAAAATATTTCATATAAATAATTTGATTTTATTCACAATGTCAAAGAATTATTGTTCCAAATTGTAATTTTAAACTAATCTTATATAGTTCTAAAGATATAGAATTCATTTCCAAAAATAAAAAAAAATAATAAGTTTTTAAATATAAAAACTTCAGAAACTAAAATTAATATTTTAATTTCACTAATATAGTTCAAGAAATTGTTTATAAGTTTTAAGAAAATTTTGTATAATTTTAAAATAAGCAAGATGCTTAAAATAGTATCAAGATAATATCACTAAAATAATTTGTATTAAAACTACAACTGATAGCAGCTTGTGATTAATGCTAAACAAAGAAAAATACAGAATAATAATGAAACTCCATATTAGCCATACGTATAATATCATCATCATCATCATCAATATTTTATTATGCGCATACAGTTTAATACAGTGTTAGTTTTAACAATAGAGAACAATTTCTCTGTTAAGGGGGAATTTTACAAATTATTTGAAAGAAATACAATTAGAAATAGTAAATTTAAAATTTAAAATATAAAACTACAATTTAATTCTTATTTTGTTTAGACATCAATTATCTTTACAAATGTGGTGAATCATCTGCTTTTCCACGACAGCGGATGATTGTACAGACATTAATTTTGATTTGACAAATAGTATCGTTCTGAAACTTTTACAAAATAGTTGTAAATTTTATATAGATCCGTTTTATTAAGATTTTTTAGACTTGATTTAAACTCCAGTTCTGAATTGGTCTGACATATTTGGGGTATTTTATAGTAATTACGTAGTTTTNCAAGTATATACTGTATTTACAGTACATGCATTCGTAAATTTAAATTACTTTTTTCTGTACTATATTAAAAACTAAAATTTATTTGTTTGTAAGCTTAAAATAGATCCTTATTAACCATATATTATTAAAAATGCATTAATAAATAAAATATAGAACGAGAATTGGTAATTTATGGTTTAGTCTAGTGGCAAGTAGATTTGGAGACAAGTAAATTCGACATACGTCATTTTTCGACTTAAGTGGTTCTCCTGGAACCAATTACCGACGTAAGGTGAGGTATACCTGTATTAGTTTTAATTAAAAACTTTTGAATTATTAATACAATAGGCATAACTGGTAATAACTTTCCAAAAAAATTATTCTGCACACACACTACTATAAATTTGGAAAAATTACAAATTTCCTATGGGTGAACTCTAAAACATCCATAGGAAATTCTCCCAATAGTAATTAGAGTGAAACCTTGCTATAAGTTGAGAAATGTCTGCATTATCTTGTTTAAACATAAAACAGTGAAATAAACTTTAGAGCAGTGAAATTCCTCAAATATTACAATAAAGTAATGAATTTTGGTTTTATAAACAATTTTCATGCTGATTAATCTTTTATTTTGCATATAGAAAACTAACTAAATTTCTACTTAATGAAACCTAATAACAGAATTTCATTAGTTGTGTATAAACAAAGATTAATGTATAAAAAATTATATTTTTATTTAGGCTAAATGATGAAGATATAGCTACTCAATGCACAAAAAATGCTTCTAAAGCTGCTGAAGTGGGTCGCCGAGATCTTGTGCAGGTTAGTATTAACATAGTTTATCATAATAATTAAAAATTTTATTTCTTTTTCTTATAACTTTATAATATGAACTTTGTTTTAGATGTGGTCAATATGTTCTCATATTGCTAATCCAAAATTGAAAGCAAATCTTGATCCTGACATTGAATGTCCTTGGGCTCAAAATTCATTTGGTAGGAAGATGCTCCAATCAATGTGGGTAATGTTAATATTTTAAATGTAAAAAGTATCATAAAGTAACTTTCACATTAATTTGGAAAAAATATCCAGAAATTTTAATTAATTCTTAAATTCTTTTTTGATATATGTTTATAGTTTGCTATCTGTTTCAAAAAGTATATACCAATGTAATAAAAATGTACTTTTACTTTTACATGTATTGTATATCATCATATTTGTTAGATATACTAGATTTTATGAAAATATTTTTAATGAACATCGCATTACATTGAATGTATTTCATCCACAATAATTGAAAAATTCAAAGACCATATTAGGTAAAAAAAATTCCAAGTTTTAAATTTTAATATTTCTGCAAATTTTTACAAATATAATTAAAGTTTTTTTACATAGATTAATGGTGCACAAACTATGGCTCTAGGCCCAAGATTAGATAATTAGATCCAAGTCCATTAGATAATTTTCCACATCTGTTCTTGAAACACTTTATGAAAAGATAAACAATTACAGTCTGTTTTTTTCAGCTTTTAAGGATTGTTAACCAGCTGTGAAATGAAAATAATTAACATATAAACAATGTAGGAACTGGATAACAATTATATTAACAATGTACATTGGCATCACAACATGTCTGCTCAAAATGTTTAAAAGAAGAACATGTAACCTTGATACAAAAAGGGGAATTACATGACCACATCTGTAGCCATCCTGGCCACAGAACACCAAATCCAAGCATATGTAGATGGAATCTGACTGCTACTTGCAATCAGAATACTCTCATACACCTTGAAAAGCTAGAGATATATATATGGTTTGGAAGAAAAATAAAGCCATAAATTTATTTTTTGTTATTACCTCAATAAAATATCAAACATGAAGTATAACAACTTCTCTTTTAACTTACTTAATTTCATTATTGAAAACATACAGAGCTTTTTCAAAAAATTCATTCTTGAAAAGGCTGTATTGATTTTCAATTAAATAACCATAATTACAATAACACGTGCAGTTGAAATGGCTTATACTTTATTTTATACATATCTATAAAGTAAATAGGACAATTGAGAAGATGGGCCAAAAAACAACTTATAGGACCTGTAGTGATTTACGCCTCTATGTAATTACTAACAGAAAATAAAATCATTAAAGTTACTTTCAATTAATAAAGAAATATTTCATGTATTTCATTTGTTAAAAAGAAAATGGTAAAAGATATAAACCCTCAACAGAAATATTTATTATGATATTCATCATAATAAATTATATAAAAGTCAGGTTTTATTAATAATATAAAACTTAAACACAGATTTCATATTTACATTATTACTAATATATGTAACATATTTTAAACAATTTCATTTTTTATTATACATTTTAAACATGTCTGTTACTATTTATCAAATTTTTCCTTTGATTTTATCAGATAAGACCATTATAAATGATGTATTTACAATTCACAATTATATAACAGTGACAAAAAAATAATGAATTAAACTTTTCATTATATAACTGCATATATATATATATATAATGATAATTTTTGTTGTATTTTTTGTAACAAATATGTAGAAAGATTTAAAAAAAAGAAGAAGAGAAAAAAAAACACCTACCAGGATTTGTATCTTTAACAGAACAGTAGGCCAATTTAGTTTAGGCTTAAGACGGACATAGGTTCAGTATGGTTTGATTGAATTTAAACATTATTTTTTTAATATTACAAATATTCTAACACCTTTTCAGTTATATGCATAATGGTGTTTATGTTAATCTAAATATAATTTCGTTGTTTTGTTTAATAATTATCAAAATATTATTTACTTAAAGGCTTTGCATCTCCAAGGAGACGAAAAACTTTCCAAAGATTTAAAGCGCCACCTGCCCAATTTAATACTTTACAATTTTTTTTTTAATTTTCAGATTAAATAATTTGTTTTAATTAAGATTTATTTGTTAATTGATATTATTAAATTACGAAGTAATAAAAGAGTGTTTTGAAATTTGAAATTGTGATTATCCATAGTTTAATATAAATTGAATATACAGTATATATATGAGAATGTTTGTTCGCTATACACGCCTAAATCGTTCGATCAATTGCGTATGAAACTAGATAGTTTCGTCTACATACCATTAACTTAGATAATTTCGAACATCGCACCCCAAAATATCTATTGGATTTAGTTAAATCAATTAATTTTTATCTCAATTCGATTTGCTGGTTTACACGTAGCGCCATCTATTAACAAAAAATTAACAAAATGTATTTATCTAACTTCGTTCTCGGGAAAATTTTGAATCGAAGTAACATGACATCCATTCCGAACTTGAAGTTCCTATATAGTTTTCCTATAAAGAACACATTTAAAATACAAAATGTTTTGGAATATTGAGCTATTTGAATCCAAAGAATGAATTACAGTAATATTACTAATCAGTAATACAATTTGAAATAATAAAATAAGTAGAAAAGCATTTGTTAAAGGTTGAAATCGTTCGTTATGGTTAATAAATAATTTTCAGTGAGATAAGGTGTTTTTGCATAGGTACAGTCAACCCCCCTATAACACTGTTGATAATTCCGTTTTATGTGAATTCCATGTTGTACGAGTCACTTAGATTTTACAAATACGTGTGCCGGGTTGTGAATGGATTACGTATTTGTAAAATCTAAGTGACTCGTACAACATGGAATTCATATAAAACGAAATTTCAACAGTGTTATAGGGGGTCGACTGTATAACAAAAGCAATTATTCTCACAGTTTTACAAGATTTTTTTATTTAAACAAGTCATACGAAGTCTTTCAGACATTAAGGTTAGTAACTCCATCATGTGCAAAGCCATCACAACCTGTCTAACACGGATCACATTTCAAATATTAATAGTAGACCAGTATTAATTAGTAGTGATTTATGACTACTTTTGCTGGAAATACGTCCCGAATTTCTATCGGACCAGCGGTATGGTGGCATTCGAATAGGAAAATTACATAATACAAGGTTACTGGCGAGTCCAAATAAGATTTAAATTATTTTCGACGGTGCCGAGTTTAAATATCTGGTCCGTTAGTCGAGAAATTTCATTCGTTGTCAGGTTACCATTTGATATTTGGCTGTGAATGTTTAAGTTATGGCAATACAACACTTGGGCGATCTGCCTAGGAGGGTGCCTTCTGGGAAGTTTTTTAAGTGAAACTGGCCCCTTATTTAAGCGTTACGGACGTCGAGAAAACCCGGTAAACTATACGTGGTCAGCCCGTCCGAGCGAGGCGCGAACCCACGACCAAACTCCCAGTGTTCAGGGTACGAAGACTGCTTGACTACTGGTGGGCTCGGATGTGAATGATACAGTTTCTTAGAGGTAAAATTCGTAGTTATATAAATAAAATACTATAATATAATAAAATATAAGAGTTAGAAGTACGAAAGAATCTAATAATCATAATGTTTATTGTTATTTATTTTTTATCTGAGCAACGCCTGGCT